GGTAGACCAGGTTGCTGGGGCAGGAAGAGCCACGGGAGGAGCTTGGGGAGCGCAGGTATGCCCCAAAGGAGCGGGAGGAGTAGTTTCCAGAGCAGCAGTTGTAAGACATGTTGGCAGGAGATGTGAGTTCAGCTTAGTGACAGCGAGAAGATTCTGTGTTTGAATATCTTACTCCTCAAGTGAGGCATTTATATACTCTCAGCAATGGGTGTGGCACTTCACAATGTCATCTTTTCAAAATTTGGAGTCCTTCATTTGCGTACATATAACTCAGTTATCCTTTTTTGTAATTGGAGTTAACTACCTCTCTTCATCTTATATTTATGGGTTCACTCATTTTGTTTTTATAGCCCGATGTCAATGAAGTAAATCTATGTTACAAATGCTATGACAGTTTGTAATTAATGCCTACTCCATCATGGCCAGGGAAGCCCCTCTGATTTTTCTGGTCATGAAAACATGTGCATGTACATGTGCTCAGCTTTGGCTGAAGAATGCTTTCTTCCCAGGGGGGAGATTACAATGCATTCATCTCTCTTTTGTGTCAGTGGCTGAGAAAAAGAAATCTGGTCTTGATGAGGAATCTTTTAAATATTGCTCCTACATCAAACCATTGATTCACACTCTAATATAATTTTGCATCTATTACTTACTATTAGCATTCCTTACTATGACCAGTCTAGAGGGCTCTTATAAAAGTAAGCCAAAAAGATTGACAGAGATGATTAGAAGTGGGCATAATCCTGAACAAATATGCTGTAAAAACTTAGTCTTTAGAAAAATGAAATCAAATCTAAAGCAAGAAGAGACCAATATGAACACATGTGAAGAAAACTAAAATGGGAGATGCTATTGAGATGAGGTGAGGAAACAAGGGACAGTGGTAGAGAGGGAAAGTCTGTCAAGATTTTCTTCTACCCCATTGGACGACTTGTGGATATTCTACTTCTTAGTTCAGTCATATAAAAGTTTTTCAAAATGAACTTAAATCATGCCTTTTGTGAAATACATTTATATGCTCAAAACATCCTGGGGTTTATCCTCCCACAACACCTCAAAATTTTGAATGTTCTCTGAGTATTTCCAAGGTCATGGCAGATCCTATATTTTTCCTCCCTACTTTTGATACATGCTTCTGTCCCAGCTTTCTTATTAGAGGGGTCCAGGTTATGTGAATCCTGAAGTTTATAATTTGGGGGTACTTCTTTAAGAAAAAGAATACAACATTATGAACATAATAGTAGATATAAATATGAATGCTAATTTAGAATAAAACAATATTAACAAGTAAAAACTTATAAGATGACAAAAAACACAAATATCACAAAATTAAGACAATAATATATTATCGTAATCATCACCAACATCTATAACATTTCCTCTATATTTATTGGCTGCATAGTCTTTGATCACTTTTACATATGACAATGATTTTGTCAACGTGATTTTCTGTAGAAAGAATAGAATATATTTCAGTTTTTCTTCTAAGATTATGAATCAGAAAATACTTAAATTATTTTTGATGACACAGAAAAGTTCCTTTCAACATTGCTATTTATTAGTAATGCCACATCTGTAACATCCTGTGTCATTTCTTCTCAGTTGGTGCTTCAATCCTCGGATTATGCATATCTCAGCTTAGTGTCCCTGCTTTATCTCCCCATCCCAGTCTCCTGGCCCTAGAGGTTGTGGACTTGTGTGAGAATCAGCTACAAATGGCTGTGGACCCTCGGTTTTAGTGATCTATTAGGTAGCAGAGTAATGTTTTGGTTCTAATCCTTCTTCTTAAAGTCAAAATTCCCTGAAGTTCTGAGGTTCATCAGGTCGATTCTAGGGTCTAGAGGTAGTACAGGCAGCTTTCTGGATCCACCCATAGCCCCAGAACTACTTCTAGGGCAAATGCCTGACTCTCAGGATACAGCAGCACAACTGGAGCAGTGGGTTCCTCCAGACCTCCCTGAAAGAGTGCAATGGAGCCTTGGAAAAGGTCATACAAAAGAACCCTGAAGAGGACCCTCCCATGGAAACTTCATTAGGTTAAATCTGTCTCTGTCTTTACCTAAGTTGCTCTATCCAAGACACTTGAACATGTGCTGGTGACCTTCTGTCTGAGATATCAGGGACCCACATAGAGTGCCCAGGTGTCTCTTCAATATACTTTCCATGGAAATGTCTCTGTCCAGAGTTCTAACCTAACTTTCAATAATTGCATTGTGGTGGTTAGTTACTGCTTTTATTATTTGCCTCTGGTCCTCTTTAACTCCAAGTTTTTTTTTTTTTTAAAGGAAAATGTCTGATAGATTTATCATATTCTTTGAGTATGCTGCTGTTTCCTGCCAATTTGGTGTAACACACACCAAAATTCAACTATGTGATATCAGGTACTCAGATAGTATAGTGCTGTGGCTTAAGGCATTGAGTTGCAACTCTGATAAAACTACAATACAATTTTACTGTAAATGCTTAAATTAACAACTTTTCCTCAATGTAAGAGTAGGTTTCATTGCAATTTTACAAAAGGGAACACTATATAGGACTTCTGTAAGTCCAAGAAATGATGAAGTAGCTGAATTCACATCAAACAGCTACTTTTATTTTTTTATTTTTTTTAAAGATTTTATTTATTTATTTGAGAGAGAGAGAGCGAGAACGAGAGATAGAAAGCACGAGAGGGAAGAGGGTCAGAGGGAGAAGCAGACTCCCTGCTGAGCAGGAAGCCCGATGTGGGACTCGATCCCGGGACTCCGGGATCATGACCTGAGCCGAAGGCAGTCGCTTAACCAACTGAGCCACCCAGGCGCCCCAAACAGCTACTTTTAAAAAGTTTATCTTATGATCTTTTAAATTTCTACATTTTTTTCCCTATGGGTTTCTAGCCACTGAGATAAAAGTCCTAGCCCACTCAATGCTGTGAACACCATGCCTTTCTCAAATCACTGTTTTTCAAAGAACTTCTTGGAAATAGTAGTCTTATCACAAATGAGAGTGACTTTTTGCTCACTGGAGATAGGACTATTGTTAATCAAAATAGTAAAGTCAGCAAAATTTGTCTATAGTGACAGAACCTTCCGGCTGCCCTCACAGGCGTACAATGATGGCCTTCTCTTCCTTGTACATCTGACCCTCATGTCGATGTGGTAGTGTTGATTTTAGCTGAAATAACAGATCACAAACCCCCAGGTCCTCTACCAAATCCAGCCCACACAGGATTGTTCATCACACAAGCATGGACCACCCCCCCACAGGTTTTTTATTAAACTCTAAATTAGTCACCAATATTTAAAAATCAAAAGAATTAAAACAAAATATGGATTTCTGACATCTTTTAAAAATTCTGAAAATTTGGTTCTGCTGGGCTCCCTTGCTTGCAGCTGCCTGGAACTCACTATAAGCTACTCCATTCATAGAGGATGTGCTCCCTGAAATTCCCAAGTTCAGCTACTCCTCTTTATTTTATAGTTGTGGGGCCCAATCTCAGTTGTCATTAGTCATCAAGCCCATGCTATTATTTTGTTGTGTTAGTTAATGTCACTATCACAAATTGAGAGGCTTTGGGTTTTAAGACATTTTGTGAAAACAATCTCCCTGTGCACTTGAAGGATATTTTTCCATGTTTAATAGGAAAATATAATGCATCTTTGTTGGTGGAATTGGATTATAAAAACACCAATCATGAGACAAATCACAGGTCAACTGCATCACCTCACTTAATGTTTATTATCCTCTGACTTAAAATACTCTACATGCCAGGAGAACGTGATAAGGTTTTTATATACTGGGCAGTGACTTAAATCAGTGTTGTCTTACTTCTGAATATGCAACAGAAGTAACAAATGGGTCATTTTAGGACATACAAACCAACCAGAAAAGAAATAAACAATTTTAAAAACCAAATGATTGAATTCCTCCCCAGGCTGCCCCACATGTGATTCTGATGTACTACCATGGTTAGATTAAAGGGTTAACACAATTAAATTAAATTAAATATTAAATTAAATTAAATTAAATTATTAAATTAAATTAAATAACTAAAGGGTTAACATCTAGCCAGGAGCCTGCAGGAGATACTCATAGCCACGTGACATCATACTACTACATGCCTGACAACTGTAACCACCTTTGTACAGGGATTGTCTTTCCAAGAATATGAAGTACAACATTACAAAGAGAGAAAAGGAAATCTATTTTCTGTTTATAACGTCATAATTCTATTGTAATGGACAGTTCCTGCTAATAATGTGCTGCACCCTCTCTTCTTGCTACTGTGCAGATATAATAGCTGTTACGAATGCTGTTGTTTGGAAACACTGAAGATGGATTTAGTAGCATTAATATCCATCCTGCAAGATGCAGCATCCCAGGGTTTGAACAAAGGCTGTGTGTCACTACCCAGTGACATCGTGCAGATGGCCTCATGATGAGTGGTAATGACTCACTATAAATACAGGAGAGAAGAATAGCAATTGTGACAGACTGTGATAGCTAAATTTGGAAGGCAGAATAAAAACAAATTTTGAGTTAGAAATCAGATGTTAAATGTATGAGCAGAACTAAAATGGTCTGTGGTACATAGTAGGCACTCTATAGACATATGTTGATTGAGTGAAAAGGAACATTGTCTTAATGTTATAAATGTCTTAAATGAAGTAAGTCACCTAGGAAGATTACATAAATATTAACTATTTTTGGTGTGTTCTTTCTTTGATTGACAGCTTAGTGAAGGTTGACTATGTGTATCTAATAGACACAGAAGCTTTTCTACTCAGATGTCATGGGTCAGCTAAGACCCATGGGCTTAAAGTTTTCCAGGTGACATCAAGTCTTGACCTAGTGGAAAGTAGTGAGATGAGGAGAAAGAGCACAGGCTAGCAGATGTGTGTGTGTGTGTGCGTGCGTGCATGTGTGTGTGTGCGCGCGCGCACACGCGCGCACCTTCCTCTCTTGCTACTTTGAAGAGGTCTGGCCTCTTCCTGATGTTGGGGTGTCAGCATCTCCCACCTCATTTCTTTCTCTCCCCAGCCCTTTGCTGACTAAAGGCACAAGGAGTGGAATAGAGAAGGCAACTCCATATTTACTCTGCATTTCTTCATCTCCAGTGCAGGGGTGCGA